GAGTGAAGACCGCCTGAACTTGAGATTTCCCTTAAATTGTCTTCCATATCCTATGTCCACTGTATTTGGTTATGATATTGACATAGGCGTCGCTCACACAATTCCACATATTCTCACACTCTGATATATTTCAGTTACTAGATTGTTTGATGCAATTGGCCTCTTGACCTGCAATGCTTAGGAGTATATTTTTGGCATTCGTATAAGACACGTTTGACTGATGCTTTCGGCTTCAAGTAACGTGAAAAAAAATGCTATCAGCCATTGACTGAATGGACGCAAGTAGCTACGCTAGGAGACATGGTCGTTAACTATTTCTTACATAAAAAAACACCGAAGGGTACCATGCGTCCTATTAATTCGGTGCAGAAAATACCAAAAAACACAAAAAAGGCTAACCTCGGAATCTAAGTTTCAAAATTTCAAAAATAATCTACGGTCGTTGTAGTCAACATGTCTCTTTGCCGCACACTCTTTCTTCTACATACAAAAAAAAAAAAGGTTTGTTAACAAAAAAATATGAATGGAATGCTTTCAATCGAGAATTTAGTATCGAAAGATAGTCTAAAATTATTCATTAGGGACCATACCACTAGGAACATATATACATGTGTATATGCATGTACATTGTAAATAATGGGTTCGGAGCGTAGGAAGTAATCTCGCATGCAAGTTTCTTAATATATTTTAATCATCTGAGGGATGATCCTATATGTACAACATGGCAATGGTAAGAACGAAATGAGAAGAGAGAGACTTGAACGGGACGCAGCTTGGTGGTAATTACTTGATCGGTAAGTTTTATATCCTTCTTGATCGAGCCGTATCCATAACTACTACCTCGCACCAATTGTAATTATCGTGCGATCTATCGCTCTTGGAGTTAAATACGGGATTGACCATTTCTTAATTGCTTGCTTTCGCTTGAATAACAGAGGAAAGGGGCGGCGCCGGCTTTATAAAGAAATTTATTTCCTATAAAAAAATTCGAAAATTGGTTATCGAAGACTTTACCTCTGCTTGAAAGAAATGAAAAATTGAAACGAGTATCATCGTACATCAGAAGATCCACAGTTATTATTGGATTGAAATTTATCCTATAAGAAGTCACAAAAGGTTTTCCATAGGCTCAAAAGGCTGTTTCTACATGCTTAGCGTCGTGAATAAGTGAGAAATTTTGTGACAAATAAGGTTTTTCTACTTAGAACGCAAAAGCTTTTAGTTGAAATCAGAGCAAATGCGAAAAAAACTTGAAGAAGAAAAGAAAAAACGCCAAGAAGTCTCTTCAATGGAGTTAATATTTTTAATGATAAGATTTGCAAGTGGGGGAAGGGGGGGGGGGGGAGAATTTGAAAGATCGGTTTTTTCGTATGTAAGTACAGAATATACTTATAACCAAGAAGTCTTCTGAATGCAATACTTTTTCACTCTCTAGATTCTAGATTGTGTTTATTTATTTATTCCACTTATACAAGACACTCAACTAAAAATTTTGACAGTCGAGTTCAATTGACTCCTCTTAAAGTAAATCTTAATTTAATTAATATTGAAACTTGGTATAAGTACAATAAAACGAATAAGAAGGAAAAAAAAAGAGGAATCGCATGTACACAACTACCATACAGCCACACCCACAACCGGTGCAGGACCAAATTGCGATTGAACCCCTAAGCCAGCGCAAATATGCATAAGCTAGGCAACCGATAATAATGAACAATAATTCATTATCGTGACATTTTAAGGTTAAGAGCTAGTTTAAGTACGACATAGGTAAATTATGCACATTAAGCAATGTTGCTTTAATGGACTTTAAAGAGTCCGATAACGAGAATAAGTGATAGACGTCATTTAGGTTCTTGCAAACAATTCTGAGCGGATTAAACAGCTCATAATTACATTTACATTTACTAAGCTTAACCAAGATAAAATGCCTAGAGAAGGGGTTGGGGACATTAGGGGGGTGTTAAAATAGAAGAAAAATGAAGTCAATGGAATCGCTAAAAATCACCATACATGCTGCATAAGAATTAAATAGAAGTTAAAATCTCGTTAGAGACACTAGAGACTGTTTTCCGATTGCTGGGTTTAATAAGAAAGACAAGAGAGAATTTCGTAGTCGAACAAGTTTTATCCTCGTGAAATTTACTTTCTAAACTAAACGTCCGCCGTATTGATAATAAGAGAAGAAAAATGGAAGTGTCTTTATATACTTCGACAAATTGGAAAGTTTTTTTTCTTTTATTTTTAAAAAATTGAACCACAAGTTGTAACATTCCACCGGAAATACGTTAGCAGTTGCTCTAATCTGCTTCCATATACATTTTGTCTGTGTGTTTTTTTCTGTTTCATTTTTTAAAATTTTCTATTAAAAATATCACATTTTTCATACTGCTGAGGAATATTAATGTCATAAAGTTCCTATATAACTATAAGCAATAACTACTACCATTGCAACAACATATTACGTTTAGCTTTGTAACATGAATTTTTCTTCCACTACTACTATTAATGTTGTTGTTGTTATGATTGTTGTATTTTTCTTCCTTACGCTAAAGCATGCTCTCTATGTAAAAATCTTACTTTGCCAAGCTGTGTGTAGGTTTTTTCTTTTTTCTTTCTTTTTTGTTTTTTAATTTCTTTGCACACTTTTAACTGCCAGATTCGAAATTTACGTTCTTAAATATTTTTGTTCTTGTCGTCGTTGTTGCTATTGTTGTTGTTGTTGTTGTTGCTGCTGCTGTTGTTGTTGCAGCAGTAACAGCATCAAGCAGCACGCTCACTTGCGGTTGTATTAAAGCAATACAGGATAGCTACCTGAATTACTGAACACGCGTCTTATGTCTTATATGTTTGTCTGTCTGCCTGTTGTCTGTCCTATTAAAAAACAAACAAAGCCAAAAAAACAAAAAAAAACAAAAAAAAAGAAAGCAGAAAAATAAGAATTCAACCAAGCAACCAACCATCTTTACTGTTCAAGTCTGTCCATTCTTATAGATATAAACGGGAAGATATATGCATATGTTTGCATGCTTGTGCATGCTTAAGTATACATTTAGTAGAAAAATAATAAAAAAAAAAAAACAAAAAAGCAAAACAAAAAATATATTTGTAAGTTCTAAAGATTTTTTTTTCGTTGGTTGGCATTTTTCAGGTTTGTTTGCTAGCTATTGCTTCCTTAGGTATTTTGTTGTTGTTGTTTCTTTTTTGTACATCTTTAGTTGACTTTTTCGTATTGTGGCAAAGTGGCCTCTGCCAACGACATCAACGGCAAGTTGCGCATTGTGGCAGAGTTTACACTCTAAAAAATCCAACCAATACTTGGTGCATTTGTATGTGAAAGTATACACACACACACACACATATGTATATACATACATACATAAATATATACAGTGTATCCATATATATATATATTCATAGGTACATAGGTATACATGTATATCTGTTCTTGTGCTCGTACTTGTATGCGATCCTAGCTAGCACTCTGAAGAGGCAAAAAAAACTGGTTTGTCTCGGGATGGTGTGTTTGCATTTAAAAGGAAATTCTTGATATTTATTTTTTCATTTTTTTTTTTTGTTCTTAAAGCATTCAGAAAAATTGCATGTGTTTTTAGGTTGGACGTGCTGTTGTTGCTGTTGTCGTTGCAAAAAAAAAAAAAAAAAAATTTTTTTTTTTTTTCATTTCGTGAACTGCTGTAGCTCAGCTCGTAAAAATGCATCACTTGTACTTAAAGTTTTCTTGTTATATGCTTTTAAAAGAATCGTAAAATTTTATTGAAGTATCCCAACAACAAAAATGTTCGAATTTCGTGCTGCTTGGTGATAGAGTAGGAATTTACTTTATGTTTTGCAAAGCTAACCAACAAAATAAACAAACGGGGCCAAAAATGTTAAAAATAAAAGAGTTTTTCTCCTTTTTCGTACATATAATAGCTTTAATAATCATGAAAAGAATTTCAGTTTAAATATGTAGAACACAAAAGATTTAAGCAACAAACTAGCCTAAAATAAGTCTTCATTCAATTAACTAAGGAAATTGCGGGCAATTGATTCTCTTTGCTTGTCCTTTTTAGAGGATAAATAAAAAAAAAAGAATAGAATATGTTCTCTCGCTTCTTTTGATTTCATAAGCGCATGCTTACTAAGTCCATTTATCTGCCTTCGATGTGTATTTACAGGTGGGCTACATTGCATACTTTGCTTTGACCGCAATGTAAATAAACAAGATTTGTGACAATTTTCATTTTCCAGATTTTGCGAACTGATTATCGAAAAGTATAATAACACGGCAGCCGGACAGACAGAAAAGACGTAAATTACTTTAAAAAGTGATTCTGAATCGATCGGTATAATAGAAGATGGAACTCTATCCGCATGTGGCATACATTTGCGCAAGCTTACTATACTCTTGTACCAAAAGTGGCCTGGAAATATGGGAACATAAGTTTTGAATTGTTTGTTGTTGTTTACTCATTAATTATGGCAAAATCTTGCATAAAGAAAAATGTGTTACTTAACTCATTATTCAACTCGTGGTTTAAACAAGACGGCTTCTCAGCAGGTTTATTATTAGACTGGACAGACGCACTGCTGAAAACATGGCTATTTGTATTCGTCAATGTATTTAAACACCTTAAGGTTAAGAGGAAAGCTTTTGGAGATTTACAATTCGCCAAAAATTCCAGTAAAGAATTATTTGGGAAATAATGTCACGAAGGTATTAATATTCGATTAAAAGCAAGGAAAAGCACTAGCGGGCCAGGAGCCTCAAAAAGCCTGCACTATCCTAAAGTTATTTATATAAAGGCTTTTCAAAATAAGGCTAACTGTAGGTTGAACGCAAAAAAAAAGACGAAGGACGGATAAATTTAGATCAATACAGAGAAATGGTTCAGAAACGATCGGTGGGTCTACTTCAAGTTCCTCTGGTTGCTGCACTTATACTATAAGTGACGTAGGGTGTAAAAAAGTTAAAAAAAGTTGTTTATTAGAAAACTTACCGATCAATACAGCTAATCCAAATAATTCGGTATCGAGCATGCCTTGTGTGGCAAAATGCAGGCATGTCTGTGTATACACTTCTCTGACTCGACTCTTTGCATCGACTAGGAAGTATAAAGTTTTGGGTTGTTGATTGCCTAAAAGTCTTGAAAAAACCCATAATTGAATAACATACGCCCTCGTTAATATCAAAGACTTATAAAATATTATACCTTAATGCTAAAAAACGTGAGCCCGGTGATAGCTGTTCGGCCGAGGACGCGCATACTTCTAAGGGCGCGCTGACAGTACAAAAAGCTCGCATGCTGCATCATTATTTAAAGGCAACAAATCGCGTGGAAATATTCTGATTCTGAAAAAAAAAAATAAAAAATAAAATATTAAATACATTTATAAGAAATCTTAATAAAATGCTATATATATATATAGGTATCGATAAGAAAGTAATTGAGATGTTATTTCTCTATACACTTAGATAAGTAATAGGAACGAATGTTAATTTTGCAAATATTTTCTTTTTGTTGCCATCTTTTGAAATATTCTTCTCCATAAGCGGCAGAGAGGCGGCTTCTTTTCTGAAACCAATTCCCATAGATATGTTTTCTGAACGCACTCGCTGGCCTTCCACTATGGTTCTGAGGAGATGATGCTCATCCTAATTTGTTCATTACCATCGCGACAAGGCAAAAACATTAAATGACTAAAATCATATTCATATTTATTTTCATTTACTTTTTTTTTTTTTTTTACTAAAAGAAGACCTGCGCAGACGTCTGACTTTGACTTTTTATGGAATCGCAACAAAAACGAGTTTTCACTTCTTGAAAAAAATCACTTTTTCTCTTTGATTTCCATGTAAAAAGTGGCGAAAACATGGAAAAAGGAACTATGCTTACCTCACAGATGAAAGATCCACTTGAGCAAATTAAAATTGAGAATTTTACGATGTGTTATTGCTTCCCGCTTGAAATCTTTCTTCTGAATTTGGCTCAGTTTGGAAAGGCGACTTGATCGATTGCTTCACATTTTTGTAGGCGTGTTGTTCATAAGTTACGTTTAAGCCACTTACATAGATGTCATAAATAATTTATGAAGAGTTTCCTTTTAATTTCTAGGCTAAGTGTTTTCGAATAGTCAGAGAATCGAACGAGAAGAACATACCCTTTTCAAGATTGCAAAACTGCTAGTCCTATACATACCTAGAAGAGATTGAATTTCACGTTTTGATGGTTTTGATATTACGTAATAGAAACGACTTTAAGTGAATTTGTCCGGAAAGAGCTTTCGGAACCGTTTTTACGTTGTTAAGTTCCAGTTGTGCCTAGTTATTGCTTTCAATATATTAAATTTGGCCCTCAAAGTCTTATGATTTTATCTATACAATTATACATTTTTAATTCATTCTGGCTTTCATGTAGTACAAGGATATATTAAGTTAGTACAAATGTGTGCAACACCGAGAAGGTCTTGAGATAGACCCACCTTTTGTTATACCGATCGATTCAGAAATACTTTGTAGGTCGACCCAATCCTGTCTGTCCTTAATTTTTGATGAAATTTGGTACATCGACAAATTTTTATCCAAGGACGAATACTATTGTGGGCGTGTGATTGCTGCCAGATGACACCAATATTTTAACATTGAGTTCCATGTATCAAGTTTCAACTTTCTATTTGCATTTCTGCGAAACTCGTGCGGTTTCCATAGGACCGGGTAACAACATGTTGAATAGTAAAAGTGCATAACCAAGTTTTTACAATAAAGAAAAATCGAGGACGCAAAGCTCTACATCTGACACCCAGGCATACGCAAAACGGTTGGTGATTCTAATCTTAAAACAGAAGATAAAGCTCTTCTTTACTTTACCTTAATGCGCCAATATTTGCGTTTTAGGTCTAATAAATGAAATTTTCATTTCACAATAACCGAAAAATAATACCCGTAAACAAAAAAATCTGCAAAAATATTCTCAATTTTATTCATCCCTAATAGCGATGAATTTCTCTATCATGGATTATACAATAGGAGCAAACAAAGAATGGATCATACCAACCAGAATACTGCTTTCATTCTTTTCATGAGGAAAATTGGTATACAACATGGGTAAGCATAGGTTGAGTTATACAGACCAACATACAGTTTTTACTTTTTCCGTTTAGCTGCAAGAAAAGCTCATCGATAGTGAAAAAGCTCATTTGAATATAGAAAGATTTGCTCTTGCTTTCACAGTAAAAGTCTTAAATTAAATATAATTAAAACATTGTAATATTATGAGGGAACGGACAGACTTTGACTGCCGATATATAGTTATAAAAAAAAAAGAATTGACGCATATAAAGATATATGTTAAAAACTTATGTCAGCAAAGATAGCGAAAACGATAATAAATTCTGTAAAATCGAAATAAATAATCAAACAAACATGCCAGCAAACAGAAAGACAGACTCTTCATCTTACATACGTTGAGTGTTAATTTATATTTTTTTTTTTTTTTTTTTTTTTTTAAGTATAATTTATGCAATATGTCAACACCTTAATAAAGCGCACCGAAACGTCGTCATTACATACGTAACATGTAAGAAAATTATATACAACTCCAGCCGAATCTTTTGCACTTACTAATATTTTCTTTCTAAAGAGAAGCACAAACCCACCAAAAAAAAAAAAAAAAAAAAAAATTAATTTCGATATTTTATAATATTGGATGAGCGTAGACAATTCCTTCCATATGGATATTTCTATCAATGTACATATTACAGTTTATAAGTGTAAGAAGCAAAAAATTTATTTTCTTTTCCTTTTAAAAAAGGAGTTACGCTTACTCTGCTTTGAACTGCAAGCTTATCCTTTAACAGATTTCAGTACGAATACAAGAACACAAGAGCTTCCAAAGTTTTTGCAAATTTGAAGGAGATTCGTTCATTTTTGCGATAAGAAGGATATTATGCATAGATTTCCTGCAGGCAGACAGACGGACATACTTTTAATCATTTTCTGAATTGATCAGTATTATAAAAGGTGGGTCTGTCCCCAATTCCGCCTGAGCGTATATAAGTTTGTACTGCAAGTAGTGTTGGGTGTAAACGAGGTGAAAATTCGATACACTATAATAATGAAAGTAGATAATGTTCACCATTTTTGTACAGTTACTTTAGGAACACCTATGAAATACATATGAAAATTTTTATCATTGCATCTATTATAGTTTACACGTGTAAGAAGCGAAAATATTGTTTTCTTTTCTTTTTTGAATACAGAGACGGACTCAATCTAAGTAACCTTCTCCTTCGATCGATTTCAATACGAACCTGAATGCAAGAACTTTTAAAGGTTTTGCAAATTTAAAGGCGTTATTTTTATTTCTACGACATAGGCGGATAGACAGATATGCTTACATCGATCTGGAACCTGATACTTATCAAGATTCCTTCTGCCTGTTGCAAATGTTTTCAGAAAATGAATATACCTGCGTCCTTCGATCTCCGTATTCAAAAAGAATTATTTATTTATTTATTTATTTATTATTATTTACTTAGGCATGATTTGATGAAAATAATATTTAAAAAAAATTATGATTTGTATATAAAGTTGAGGTCAATTTGTTGTTATTGATTGATGACGATATCGAAAATGTTATGCTGTTAGATGGCTTTTTTATTTAAATTTCTTATTCTTCTTCTCCCTTTGAATAAATTAATTAATTTATTTTATTTTATACATAATAATATATAAAAGTAGAAAATCGCTTTTGTAAACTTTTGGTTGCTTAGACCGTAAAGTAGATATTATAAATTAGTTGATATTATGTTGCGAGCCAGCAAAACTGGTGTGTTAAACTTTTAACTCGCTATGAAACCAGTAGCATTTTTAAAAAAAACCATTTGTTACAGTTCGTTTTATGTTTAAGCAAACAACGCACATATATAAATAAAATCTCAAATACTTGAAGAGAAATATAATTTATTCTACATATAATTCATTTCTAATTTATTTCGAAAATCTTGCTTTATTCAGCTAAGCGAGTTGGTTGAGAAGATTTATGTCATTATTATTTTTAATCACACAAACAAACAAAAATATACTTATGAATGATTGTTGTATACATGAAAGATCTATCTATAAATTATATATCAATATAAGATCTTTCGACTTTACATTTTAGTCCATTTGTTATACTCCACATCATTTGTGGTAATCGGGTATATTAGATTTATGTAGACGTGTGTGACACCCAGAAGCACTTTTTATATGTACTTTGCATACAAAACTTGTCTCTCAGACTGTCGGTATTTTGCTGAAATTTGATACCACCGATGTATTTTGAGCCAAGAAAGAACGCTACTGAAATGGTTGCGATCGGACCACTTTTTCGATCACTTCCCATATAACGTCTTATATGTATATGCATTAGCTGTAAGGCGGTGTAATGTATTTAATAATAAGCAGTGACCTACTATAGTGCTTTGACTTGTTTTCTTTTGGAATTCTTAAAGTCAATATAGTTTTGTTAAAGAAGAGAAATGTTATATACGCATGCTCCTGGTTTAACTTCCCAGATTAGGGATAGAAGCAAACTGCAGTTGTTTTCATTCATCCATTTAGTAAAAACGCTTACAACATCCACAAGAAAACTTCGGAGACTCATTTAAAGTCTTGATCAGCATCAGATTTTGAATTGATTTAAACATGTCTGTCCTTCCGTTTGTGATACCCATTGTTTTGCTATTACAAGATAAATAAATTCAAAGCGAAAAGGAATAAAAAAGTAAGACACAAAAGGCATACAAGTAGTGTAAAAGCTGAACCTTTTCACTATCGTTATTAATCAATAACAAAATGGCCTCAACTCTACATACAAATCGTAATTTTTACAAATATTTACAAATATTTCTTTTTTATATCATATTTTTTTCATAATTATTTGGGTAAAATGTTTACAGCACGCAGAAGCAGTTTTAGGAGTACGCATTTTTAGCTTGATCAGTATCAAGATCTCGATCAAGGTTCGTCCGTCTGTCCATCTGCACAAAGCTTATTATCAATTATCGACTTTAAATTTACAAAAAATGTTGAAAGTTTTTGCAAGCGGGGCGCTATTGAAGGTGGCGAAAATTGGTTAAAAGAAAAGCCCGCAGTATAACGTGAAGTGAGGAGGGCTTTGTCCTCAAAAGTAACTAAATTCGATTTATTGGTCATAGGTCACGAACTACACGTGACGCAATGAACAACGTTTGCAAAATTTCCGTCCGGGCTTGTTCCAAATGTGCGTAGCATATCGGCCATTATCGCAAAGAAGGGAAAAAGAGTGACAGACAGAGACGGGGCCTGGGAAAAATATGCCCGATCGGTCA